GTCGTAAAAAGGAAACAGCCGAAAAAGAGAGACTGGCAACCGTCAAAAGGAAGCATACGAAGCATGTATTGTATAAGAATAAGCATACCAGACAGCAGTTCTGAGAGCCTACATAGAATTTTTTTTTTGAGGTTCAGAGAGGGTCGAAGATCTACTGAGAAATTTGTTGAGCTTCAGAGTAGTTCGTAGATCTTGAGAACAGAACTACAAACAAATTAAAAGTTATTAACAGAAATTCATAAAAACAAAATCACAAGAGAGGTCGTAGATCTTCAGATAAATGGCCAAAGAAATATTCAAAACTTCAAGCAAGCAAAAATAATTTCAAATCAATTTTTAATTATAGTGGAATTTCAGGGAAATTCGCATAACTTCAGACAAGTTCGGCGATTAAAAAAAATATTTACACGATTTCAGGAAAATTTGTAGATCTTGAGAGAGACATTTAAAACTTCAAAGAAGCTCAAATATTTTCAGATAAATTTTGACAACATTAGGTAATCTTCAGGGTAACCCGAGAGAAGTTTGCAGATCTACTGAGAAATTTATTGAGCCTCAAGTTTTTTTTGTAGATCTTGGGAATAGACCTTAAGAGAAGTCCATAGACCTTAAGAAAAGTCTGTAGAACGTTTAAATTTTACCGAAGAACAGAAACAAAACTTCAGGGACGTCAGAAGGTTTGAAGACCTTGCAGAATTGAGTTATTAACAGAAATTTTCAGAACTCAAGGAATCATGTATATCTAGTGAGAACTTTTCCCACTAGCTTGTCTAAAGTTGGTATCGACATCCTGGCGTTTTGAGTTTTGAAATTCATTTTCATCTTCATATCGCAGCTCTTGATGGACAAGATGAGCCAGATCCCTGCCGGTGTTCCTCCTGAGCAACCATTTCCTACTCCACAAAGTTCACCTTCTCTTTCTCATTTTATTTAAAATAATAAAAGCAAATACGTCTGCCGAAACTAGAGCAATTTTCCGGTAATTCATGATGGAAATATTTACTTTTGATTCCTGATACAGTTTTGTTTTGAAATCTAAATTGACAATTCTTTCGACATGTGCAAGCAATGTAAACACCAGCAAACAGGGGGATTCGACAAAGTGTGTCGAAAGTAAATTCGAGCAGATTTTTCATTATGGCGGCGGTCAAAATCAGACCAAGAAATCAGATAGTCTAAACGGACCTTAAGAGATTTTAGACATGTGAAACCATGATTTATTCTGTCTTGATCTTCCAAACAGAGTTGGACTCAAACATATTATCAAAATGATATTTTGTTTTTGAAAGCATATTGTTATCAAATTTTGATATATCGTTTTATCGAAATAGTATAGACAGGTTTCTTACTTGTATTTATATTCTTGAATTAGAAAAATACTACACAAATACCAAAAAAGAATGTAATATTGATTGACGTAATGCATGCTACTGTATGAATAACTAATGTGATTGCAAAAACCAAATATAATATTACACACATGGAAATAATTTCTTTTCGCAAATTATGTGTAGGATAAATGCACCAATAGTGGAGGTACTTTAGTGCAATGTGTTCCTATGGTGGCTTATAGAGTCTCCCTAAGCCGCTATGGAAGTACATTGTACTAACGTACCTCCACTAATAGTGCATTTACTAAACATAAATTGTTCAAATTAATATTAAACAACCTACACATTTAGTTTTTTTCTACCGAGCTCGGCTGTGCAAATCTCTGCAAAAAAAAGTTTCACTGAGATCTCAGCAACAGTGACGTTTGATTGCTGAGTCGCGGATAATGCTTAGCTGAATCTCAGTTAAACCTTTTTTTGCCGAGATTTGCACAGCCGAGCTCGGTAGAAAAAAGGAAGTGTGATATGTGCATCTGATCTACTGTAATATTCAATAACTTTTTTGCCGTGCCGACTTATAAGTACCAACGCCCAAGTTTGAACAATCGAAAATAACATAAGTCAATAAGTACATAAAGGGATTCCAGATGGATAAAAAGATAAAATAATAGTGTGTATAATTTGTATGCACCTGGAAAAACCTGGAAAACTCAGGGAATTTGATTCCTTGGATTGAGTAGACACCCTGATTCTGCAAGCGCTGTAATCTCGATATTTGTGTTGCATTGGCCAGAAATAAAATGGAAGGGCAAAAGTCAAGATGAGGAGAGATGATTGATTTGTATAGCTATATTTTACTGGCAATAGTTAAATCGTTTTTCAGTCGACATAGAATTCCATACTTCTTGGCAATTTTCTTGATGACATTGTCAATGTGAGAGTTGAACTTAAGTGTGTCATCAATAATCACGCCAAGATTTTTAATCTCCCAAACGCGATCAATAGTCTCATCATCAATTACAACAGAGACGTTCTCATTTACTCGATTCCGCGAAATTACCATAAATTTAGTTTTACTTGTATTCAATTTTAACTGCTTATACTTCAACCATCTACTTAGAGAACGCAAATCTTCATTCAAGTGTAAAACGGCATCATCTAAATCCTTAGCTGCAATGAATAACACAGTATCATCTGCAAAAAGATTAATGTCGCAAAATCGTAAAACACGTCGCAAGTCATTAATATACATAATAAATAACAGGGGCCCTAATACACTTCCCTGGGGCACTCCAAGGTTATTCCCCACGGGACTGGAAACAGAATCATTAAAAACAGTCCGTTGAGTTCTGTCAGACAAATAGCTTTCAAACCATTGGTATGCAGTACTCGTAATTCCGAAGCGCTTGATTGATCTTAACAATAAGGGCCTAGACATTGTTTCAAAAGCGCGTTTAAGATCCAAAAAAACAGCAACAATCGTATCTTTACACTCCAAGCTATTTTTCCACTTCACTAAAATCAAATTCAACGCGGTTTCACAGCAATGACCTTCCCGATATCCCGACTGTTCTGCTATCAACAAACTATTACTATTTAAATACTCCAACTGCTGGCCTTTAACAACAAGTTTTAAAATTTTCTCTAATGTGTGCAACATGGGACGAAACTCTTCGGCTTTAATCGTTCCAGCAACTTTTTGAATAGGGACAACTAAGGATTCCTTCCAAATTTGTGGCACATGTCCAGTTTGTAATGATTCATTAATAAGGTCCAGCAAGATGTGGCTAATGACATGAAAGCAATCTTGAATAACTATAGCATTAACATTATCTTCTCCAGAGACTGTTTTATTTCGTCAGGTTCATCGACCAATTCAATAGATTGATTAATCAATGAAACGCTATCTACGAAATAATCATTAAACTTAGCTGCAATGACTTGTCTGACTGACCGGTCGCAGGAATTCAACCAACTCGTCATGATACCATAAAAAATAACGGCTATTAATATTCAACAAGTTCTATTCGAAACTCTAAGCACACCACGAAAACATTGTTTTTGAGATGTTCTTCTTCTAGAAAGTTTCATATGCTTATGGAAAAATTGCAGCAACTTAGAAAGACGAAGAAATTTCTAGATTTTATAATAAATTTTGGTTTCTATTGTTTTGAGAAACACACCAGTTGTAGTTGTACAACAGTAAAAGTTCTTCTAATTAAATATGCATTCAATATTTCTCACAAGTTCGCTTAGTTTTCTTTCTTGAAATTCTCTTTTAAAATTCTATAGAAATCCCTTAGGCTCTGAACCATTTCGTGGATTATTTTAACTTTTGGTTCAAATTTGACAGATGGAAAGTTATCGATTGACTAAAGCCTCCCTAATAAAGATAAATTAATTAATTAATTAAGTTATCGATTAACCCTGCCATCCGAGCGTGGTTGCTTCTGACAAGAAGTTAAATTTGGACAACCTTGGCTAAGTTCTTCTCGAAAACTGGTCGATCGGCAGCACAGGGATTTTCGAACATAGAAAATAACTTTCGAAATGTCACTTCTAATTTCGAGTTAAATTTAACTCGGCAAATGGTTCACAACCTTAATGATATTGAAATCCTCCTGAAATTTGTCTTGACAACACACTCACTCCTCCTCACCGAATTCTTCTTTTACGTGACGTTCGTTGTTTCGATTTGGTCCTTACGTAAGACGAGAACAGAATCCATAAAACTTCCACATTTTTAGGCTACCGTGCCCCTTACTTCACAAAGTAAACTACGACTGACGTGACGGTTTTACGAGCGTACAAATATTGCACATCTTTTAAGCTATCTCGACCGAATTCTATTGCGTTTTAAAACGGCTGCTTCCTCCGCATCAAAACCACCAAACCACACAATCAAACACGACCCACCATGAGTACCGTCAGTCCTCAACCAAGGCCTTTAACATCGACTATCCCCTACTGTATCAGGTCTACAAAGTGATTGAACTCACAGAATTAGCCTAAACTCCTGCAAATAGCCAGTCCGTCAACAAAAATGTGCTAGAAGTTAAAGAAGGATTTTATGTCACCCCGTTTTCTGCAGCACATCTTCCACACCGTATTTGTTCAATCAATTTGCGCCTGAAAACATCTTGAACCGAGGCGACATTTGCAACCCATTGGCATCTCCAGTGTTTATTTACACTTCATCATCGCCTTCTTCGTTTCTGTGTGACTCCCACCTATCTAGATCGATTAGAAAATAATATGTCGATTAGAGGAGTTGTGCAGACTCAGATCCAACATGTCGTGCGTCCAATTCAACTGCATCGAATCACCCATTCCAAGAACTTTACTGCCCATAATCGCATAACTGTCCCATAGGATGTGACTGATATGCGTTTATAGGCCCTTCGAAGGCGATTATGTTCCTATGCAAGCTCGACCTGTTTCTTACCATTGTCGTCTTCATCCGTTCATCGACCGAAAATACAAAAGCAATCTAAATTTATTGCCTTTTTAGCACCTCCTTTGTTTGGCGTTCATCGTCCGCGCCCCTAGTGGAAACATTCCCTTTCTATAGTGTATACACTAGTAGTGCATGTCAATGTGGTTGGGCTGTTTATCACTATTCATACAAATATTTAAAACCGTTTCCCATTTCGGTCTCTTCTTCCGCAGGACCAACGTCGTGATGAACTACACAGAAATCGAAGGCAAAGTACGCGAAGCAACCAACGATGAACCGTGGGGTCCAACGGGGCCGCTCATGCAGGAGCTGGCCCATGCGACCTTCACCTACGAACACTTCCCGGAGGTGATGTCGATGCTGTGGAAGAGGATGCTACAGGACAATAAAACCAACTGGAGGCGAACCTACAAGGTATGTCCGTCTACAGTTCGCAGTATCTCCAACCGCAGATTGCTGATTGGAATGTTACAATTTCAGAGTTTACTCCTGCTAAACTACCTGGTACGGAACGGGTCGGAACGAGTGGTGACCTCCTCGCGGGAACACATCTACGACCTGCGGTCGTTGGAGAATTACACCTTCATGGACGAAAACGGCAAGGACCAGGGCATTAACGTGCGGCACAAGGTTCGTGAGTTGATCGACTTCATCCAGGACGATGACAAACTACGGGATGAGCGGAAAAAGGCAAAGAAGAATAAGGACAAGTACATCGGCATGAGCTCGGATGCGATGGGTGGTATGCGCTACGGCGGTAGTGGTGCCGGCGGAGGCGGTGGCAGTGAGTACGGTGGCTATCGGGATAGCTGGGACCGAAGGACGGACGAGCGGGGGTGTAAGTGTTGCATTTTAGGGTTCGCATTGAAACGTTTGTTGATCGAGATATTATTTTTTTTTTCAGATAACGAAGGCAAGGATCGCTACGAGTATGACTATCAGTACGATGGAGAACGGGAGGATTCCGATACGGAATCGAATGGAACCCACGCCAACAGGTACGATAAATGCCCTACCCCCGTATGGCCTTGTAAAGCTTATTTCCTAATTGATTGTAGATATTACGACAAGGAACGCTCAAAGAGTCCTGCCACGAGACAACCATCCTCCTCCCTTTCGACACATTCCGCCAGCGGCGCTGGATCGTCATCATCAGCGGCGGTGGCCGAGAAGAAGATCAATCTGAACATCAAATCTCCGGCGGCGGCAGCCGCTGCGGTGAAAGCAGCCGCCGCCGCAGCGGCCAAGCCCGCCAAGAAGATCGATATGGGAGCGGCGAAGAATTTCGGCAAATCCGCCGATCTAGGCATCAACTCGCCGACCCACAGAAACACCCACGCCGAAGAGATCATCAGCACGTCAGACGCCACCACCAGCGGGAAACAGCAGCAGCAGAGCAATGAAATTCTGGACGACCTGTTCAGAACCTGTCCGCCGGCGCCGCCCTCGGAGGGAAGTCCCGCCAAGGACGATTTCGACGACTTTAATCCACGGGCCGATGATTCCGGCCCTTCTGGCGGCGTTACGGGCGGTCCAGAGTTTGGAGATTTCGAGTCTGCTTTTGGAAAACCGACACCGAAGCCTGTTAGCAATGAATTTGCCGATTTTGCGGCATTCAGCTCGGCACCGGTGCCTGCTCCAGTCGCTGCCGCTTCCAGCGACATATTCTTTGGACTGAATCCAAGTGCCACATCAGCCGCACCAGCGACTGCCGGTATGAATCTGTTTGGAATGGCACATCAGCAGCAGCAGCAACCGGCAGCGGCGGCAAATGATTTGCTATCCGATATGAGTGGATTGAGCTTGGGAGGAAGCACCAATGGTGAGTGAATTGTGTACTTTACCTTTGATTTGGAATTATTTGATTTGCCTTGAAAGTGTTTTTCATCGGGATTAATGCATGATTAGGTTGGGCCCTTTCGAGACGATCGAGGGACTTAGATAGAACGTTTTTCCGAAAGACTTCTTGACTAGGCCTCGAAAGGGTTCACCAGAAACCGCTAGCTGTGGGTCTTCTTCTTCAGTTCAGTGCAGAAGAACTCTTCGGAAGGCCAATCACAAAATCAATCTATGCCAGCTTGAGTAAAACATAAATTTCCGCGCGCTTGTTTCGTGTTTCTTTTTTTGTTTTGCGATACCGAGTCAAATTCATCTGTCCCGGTCCGTTTAGTAATTTAAGTCTAAGTGATACAAAAAACACACTCACAGTGACACAGTATAATACCAGTGGGAAAAATGTGTGCATTTGCACTTGTCCCATTTCAGTGTCGCACCATGGCGAGGGATTGAAGCTGCAGGAATCCATCCGGGATCTGTTGGAACTGCTGCAGAGTGTTGAAAAAATTCGTTCCGAAGAGCAGCTGAATGCGATTCGAAGCAAGTTGGATGTGTTGCTGGAATGCCTGCCGGGACCGAGAACTCCGGAGCAGCTGCTGAGGCTCGACGACGATCAACGATCGATTGATTGGGCAACATTTGCCTCGGATGAGTTTCCGGATTTGCTGGAACAGTTGGTCGAGCGGTTTGATGGACAATTTCCGGGAAAAGTTCCCCAAGTGGATAACCGAATTTGGAGGATTTTCGGGCTCGATTATAATCACGTTTTCATCGCCGAGAGCCTGGCCATGCTAACCGCAGCGGATAAGCTCGGTCGGAACAGAGAAGTATTCCCTTTTCTATTGACTAGATTAGTACAGGATTGTGACTACCTGACCGGGTGCTTCGTTGAATTGAGTCTGAAGGCGGAAGACGACGGCTTAACGAAGTACACTCGATGGACGAAATCCGAGCAACTGATTCAAACTTTAACCAGCATCCCGAATAAGGTCGCCAATGTACTCCAACGGGAAACCCCTGACATCTTTCTACCGGAACGATTGTCCCAGATTCTACTCCAACAGATGCTGAGAGCTATCAATTCAGTGGCTCAGATTACCCACCTACATAATACGTATCTCACCTACGAAACGACATTCCTGTCTAAACTCTTCAGCAAGCTTATCGTCGATTACTTCAACAACGATAAGCGGTCGCATCATTTACAGCTCTCGTTGCGTATCCTCGCCGCTTGGGCGCAGTCCAACGGTTATCAACAAAAGACTCTTATCGCAGCGATTTGTGCCGACCTATCACGTCCCGCTGTGGAAACACTGGCCCGAATCGCTCTTCGCGAGGGAATTGATTTATTCAATTTACTGAGAGCGCATGATTTCAACGGCGATTGGAAGTACGTCCTAACGAAGAAGATTCCCCTATTCAGTAGCTTCCCGCAGGATTCGATGGTGGAGAATCTGATGTACCTGTTGGCGAGGGTTTCCGCTAGTGAACTGAAAGCGCTGACCCTGGAGCTGGTAACGGTCTGGTCCAGCCGAACCGGTATCCAGAAGACATCCTTCGAACAGCACCTGTACCTATCCAAGCAGTTGCTCTTGGCTATGACCTATCTGAATCTCTCAAAGCATGGGAAACTGAACACGGTGGAGATTCGTGAATTTCGGAGATTGCTTTTCGGTGGCTTGAAATGTCATCTGGAATCACCCGTTAAGGAGTTGAGATGCGTTGGAATGATTGTATCCGAGGTGATCCTTGGCTATTTCGATGCACAGGATGTCGATGAAGAAAACAAGCTCAAATTTGACTACGAAGGATTCGATTCGGCCACACTGCAGTTGGTTGCAAGTTTGAGGAATTTCAAGAACCGTTGTAGATTTACCGAAGATGAATTGTCTCAAAGTGTCATCAGCTCCGAGGACGAACCGCTTGATCAACTCGTTGAAAAATTGTTTGCAACTGAAACCCCCGAAATATCCATCTACAGCAGTTCCCTTTCAAAGCCATCGGAACCTCCGCTTACCGAAGTTGAACTTCTATCGCTGAAATCCTCGGATATCAAACCTCCCCTCAGAGAGCGTAAACTATCGGACAGCGACGATTCGGCGCTGGATTCCGACGACGACCTGGAACCGTATGACATGTCCCACGACACCAACATTGACGAGGAGCAACTGCGGCCAAAGTACCTTCTCGATCTTCGCGAGATACTCCTGGACAACTCGGACCAGCAAGCTCCGGTCCGATTCGAACTGGCCATGGCAGCTGCACCGGATTTAATCGCGCAGCAATTGTCCAACAATGACATCAAGCTGGCCCTCGACCTGCTGCAAATCCTACTCCCCTTGGAAGCCCGCGTATACATGGAAAATTACCAGGAACTTAAATTCTCATCTCTGATTGCCATTTGCACCACTTACCCCAAGGAGTGCGCCGAATATATCTGCCGAGAGTTCCACTCCGATCTCAGCAAGTACTCCCTAAACCGTCGCATTCTCATGCTGGACATCCTGGCTCAAACTGCAAAGGTCCTTTCGAATCTAGCCTCCGCCGAACCCCAATCCCAACAGAGCCAAGTTAACCCACCCAACCCGAGTGCGTCACCCCCGCCGAAGAACGCTCTGGACCTAAAATTCCACGAGGAAAACGAACTCCTTCGCAAGCGTCAGCTTGCGGAACGGATCGTTCGCGAACGCATCGCCGGTAAAACACGTAGATTCAGCTCCCGCCCTATCCAGTCTGCGAGCAGCAAACCGCCAACGATGAATCGCTTCTCCGAAGTAGCCGGGTGGTTCTTCTTTCCCCTGCTGCGGGGATTCGGATCGAAGCAGTTTCTATTCACAGCCAATCTCAAATTTCAATACGATGCTGACAATCTACTGCTGACGACGTTCCTACAAACTCTATCGATACTGATGATATGTGCCGAGAATTGTCCGATAGCGAGGAAGTTCGGCCGAGAGTTGATGAATTTGAGCGTGATGTTGCGGTTCAGCGAGGAACCGAAGGTGCGACTGTCGGTGTTGCAGGTGCTATCGTCGATTTTCCTGGCGCTTCCGAAGGCGATTCTCCGGCAGGATTTCTACGTGGATTTGGTGGACCTGAAGCAGTGGCTGGAGGAGTGCGTGCAGGGAAGTGTGGTGAGGGGAGAGTCGAATGAGGAGTGTCGGGAATTTGCCCGCAACGTGCTGGTGATGTGCTACGGTGCGCTGGCGGAAGATTGATGGGAAATGGTAGATTTAAGGAGAGTGTCATAGTTCTTAGATTTAGGCCGTTGAAAACATTTAGGAATTACTAATACACATAAGTTCAAGTTCTTGATTGCTCACGATTTTGTGTTGTTCGTTAATACCCGAAACTAGGCCATGCGTACCTTAGGGACCATGCACTTAGTACGTAATATTTGTCTATCCCAGCTGGCTTAGTAAGATCTAACATCGAACATTAACATGTTCTGTATTCTTCGAGTTATTATTCGTAATTTCGTGAGATTCCCTGCCTCCCTTTGCTTTAAAAAAAAACTTACGTAATAAGTGCATGGTTCCTTATGGATATCATCCTATCTGCAATTCTAACATCTAACCAAACAGAAAGTGAGCTTCCTCTCAAAATCGACTGTATCTGTCATGGATGCCGCTTTTGTGATTTCGTGACTTCGGGACTTGCCCTGGCAATGAGTTGATCAGATATAAAGACGTGATCGGAAGGGAGGGGTGCATTTTTATTTGGTTTTTGGTGATAGGCTATCTGGCCTAACAGGATGTCGAGTTCTCAAGCCTCAGAAACTAAAAAAGAAATTCATATTCGGTGTCTTACAAACTTTTCGATTAATTATGATTTTTAAGATTTCCTGCAAAAAAGGTGGAGATCGATGCGAGTAGATGGGCTTAGATGCAAGAGATGAGAAAAGATTTTTCGTAGATTGATTCGCTAATGTGTGATTTTTCGACCTTTTAAAATCGAGATTTAGATGTGTCGCACCCCTCGAAACAAACCAATCTAACCTGTCAAATTTGAAAATATTTAGAACGATTGGTTTATTTATATGAGCCAGGATATCAGCTAGTGTTCAAATTAAAAAATAATGCAAGTGATCTGGATTAACGTAGCTGGCAGGATTGATTTGTAGACTGCATCTGTTTTTGGGGGCATACTCTAACAGACAGTACATTGGATTGAGCACCTCATGCGAACCATTCTCGAGAAACGCCACCGTAATCCAGAACTTCTTCCCCTCGGAAGACGATGTACAGCCTTCGTCGTTGTTCGTAAGCTGGTAGGTGCCTGAGTTGGTGGTAGGAGTCTTCAAACCAAGTTTTTCGGGTCACGCGGAGTGCTGGAGTTGACTGAGCTTCCATCAGAAGAACCGTTCGTAGGCTCGTAGAACTCCGTAGATTGCTTTTCTACCCTTCAGTGCACCAGGTCGTGGGTCTTCAAATGTAGTTTTTTGATTGTTATGATCTACAAAGAACCGCTCCCCAGCTGCCGTTGAACCCGTTTTCCCCAATAATTTGTTCCGTATAATTGGCGATGATGGCACCGTCAAAACATCGTCTCTTCTTGCAAAGATTGACAGTTTCTTATGGGAATTTTCGTTGCAGTGAAAGGATAGTACACAGTCCACCATGTATCTCGCACAGTCTGATGTTTGCTTATTGAATTATTCCATAGGAGTAAAGAGCTACAGAGTCCCCGTCAACGCCAATAAACAACTACGATCACACTCGCAGAGGGATCTGTCATTTTCAGCGTCGACACAGAAACACCCAAAAACACACAAGAAACACTATCAGCACAGTCACAAGGTGGCAGAGTGACTTACCCCTTGACATTCTATCTAAATTCGCAAAATAGATCACGCGCGATCGAGGTTATACCGGCAGGAAACAAACGGATTGATTTTAACTGGAACAAGCTCACCAAATACAATAACCATGGCAACACCAACACAACATGGATCGTAGCACTCTTCATAATACAAAGCCCACAATCAAAAAACCTCCAAGGAACTATTTGAATCACAATACATTATATCAGCAAAATTATCTGCAAGCATCAAATTTATGGAACAACTATTTTTTTGCTTCCCGGACGCGTACATAGCATTTTATAAAATACGATTAGGCACAAGTCCATTTGATACTCAACTTGCCTTACCTTACCTTACCCATAAGGCTAAGGCCTTGTTGTCCTCTGCTGTCCCAAGAAGTCGTCCGCAGGTCCCCTTTTACTTGGTCGATCCAACTTGCCCGCTGCGCGCCTCTTCTTCTTGTTCCTGTTGGGTCGCTGTCTAGAACCATTTTCACTGGGTCGTCGTGCGGCATTCTTACGACGTGCCCAGCCCACCGTAGTAGCACAATTTTTGCAATGTGGACGATGGATGGTTCTCCCAGCAACTGGTGCGATTTGTGGTTCATTCGCCTCCTCCACGTTCCGTCATCCATCTGCACTCCACCGTAGATGGTACGCAACACCTTCCGTTCGACAATACGAGCATAGTTCAGATCTCGTGGCCGTAGAGGACCACCGGTATAATCAGCGTCTTTAAGACAGTCAACTTCGTGCGGCGGCGAATTTTATTCGACCGGAGCGTCCTCCGGAGTCCAAAGTAGGCACGATTCCCTGCCATAATGCGTCTTTGAATTTTGAATTTCTCTTCTGGTATCATTTTCGGCGGTCACCAGTGAGCCCAAATACACGAACTCATCGACCACCTCGATTTCGTCACCGTCAATCTGGACTCGGGGTGGGAGGCTAACATTGTCTTCCCTAGAACCTCTTCCTTTCATGTATTTTGTCTTTGATGCGTTGATGGCAAGTCCAATCCGCCTAGCTTCAGCCGTCAGTCTGATGTACGTTTCCGCCATCGTCTCAAAGTTCCGTGCCATGATGTCGATGTCATCGACGAAGCCAAGAAGCTGGATGGACTTCCTGTAGATCGTGCCACTAGTGTCTATCCCAGCTATTCTGATCACACCTTCTACTAACGCGATGTTGAATAGCAGACACCAAAGTCCATCACCTTGCCGTAACCCCCTTCGAGATTCAAAGGGACTCGAACAACGCACATCACTCGATCCATCGTCGCCTTGACCAATCGCGTCAGTTTATCCGAAAATCCGTACTCGTGCATATTCTGCCATAGCTGATCTCGATCGATTGTGTCACATGCGGATTTGAAATCGATGAACAAATGATGTGTGGGCACTAGACTGATGCAAAATTTGACTTTTTCGCTCCACAGTGCTTAAATGGTTTCAAATCGGGTCCTGATTAGCCTCCCAAAGTTACAACTCATTTGGTTAGAAACAGACTTCGCACAAGCCATTTGAAGTTTACATGTAAATTACTATGGGAAATCTCAACTTTTTGTTCATTGCCTTCTAGTCTTTTTCCATATTGAGCTGCGAAACAGTTCGATAGCCATTCTTATATAAAATTTTCTCAGCTACAACATTGCTTAAGATCGTTTCTATGTAAAACGAGACAGGAAAAAGTTATTAATTATTTAAGAGATTGGTAAACTTATGACATGATCAAGCAGCTGCTCTGTAGGCAACACTGTATTTTGCAGTGTGACATAGTAGCCATGATTTTTGTGTCCTATTCAACGCCCCAGAAACACCAATGTTGCCTGCTGAGCAGTTGATTGAGCATGATCATAAGACATCAGCGCATTGAACCATTGATAACTTTCGATCCTTGCATTTAATTAAAAAATGGTCTTGAGCAAAGTTGTAGCTGGAAAAATTTCCTACAAGAACAGTTGAAAGCTTTTAAAGCAGGCCAATATGGTGAATTATTAGATAGACATGAACAAAAATCTTGGTTTTACCATAGTAATTCCCATACAAACTTCAAATGGCTTGTGCCATCTCAGTTTCTCACCAAATGGGTTCAAATTTTGAGAGGTTAGTCAGGATCCGATTTCGAATCGTTTAAGTATTGTGGAGCGAAAATTTCAAATTTTGCATCACTCTAGTGGGCACGTTGAAAATTTGGGAAAATTTGGTCCGTGGTAGCGTGGGCACCCATGAATCCCGCCTGGTATTGCCCCTCGAACTCTCTTGCAAATGGTGACAGGCGGCGGCATAGAATTTGGGACAGTACCTTGTAGGCGGCACTCAGCAGTGTGATCGCGCGGTAGTTGCAACAATCCAACTTGTCGCCCTTTTTGTAGATTGGGCATACGACACCTTCCATCCACTCCTCCTCCCAAATCTTGGCAATTACCCAGTGCAGCGCTCTAGCCAGTGCTTCACCACCGTATTTTAATAACTCACTTGGTAGTTGATCTACACCAGTTGCTTTGTTGTTCTTCAGCCGACCGATCTCCGCCTCAACTTTTTGAAGATCAGGGGCCGGTAGCCTGTCGTCTTCTGCGCGTGTTCCAAGGTCTGTTGCCATGCCACCTTCGTTTTCTGCTGCATCACCGTACTGCTTCCACCTCTCAATCACCTCACACTCGTTCGGTTACCGTCCAAGTTCTTGCACATATCGGTTTGCGGAACGTAGCCTTTGTGCGAAGTATTTGGCTTCTCGTAGAACTTCCGTGTGTTGTTTACGCGGTACAGATTTTCCATCGCCTCGCGATCTCGGTCTTCCTGCTGACCCTTCTTTCTTTAGAATACCGAGTCTTGTCTTCTTCTTCTTCTTCTTCTTCTTCTTCTTCTTCTTCTTCGCATTTCAAGCTTATTGCATATCGCATATTAGCTTATTGCGTGCTCTCAACTTAGTGTTCTAGATGCATTTCCACAGTTATTAATTGAGAGCTTTCGATGCCTGTACCATTTTTGCATTGGTATAATTGTGTGGCAAGTCCAATCATACTTGTATGCCCAGAGAAGTCGAGACATTTTCCAACCCGAAAAATTCCTAGACCGAACCGGGAATCGAACCCAGCCACCTCCAGCATGGTCTTGCTTTGTAGCTGCGCCTTTACCGACTGAGCTAAGGGAGGCCCCCATTTGTCTGTTCGGTCCGGAATCGCAGTACTACCTATGGCGGAACGGATGTCCCTCCAGTCATCTTCAAGAGAAGCTGCGCCAAGCTGCTCTTCCGTGGGTAGTGCAACCAACAATCAATACGAAACTAACGATTTTAAATTGGCACTCTACTTGACTAGCCAAGCAAACCCAAGCAAACGATTAACGTATCCCATTCTAGTCGAAATTCTAGTACTACACAATGTTTGTTTTGATTCGCTATGAAAGTTTGACAGATAAAATGAGGGGTTAGTGGATTTTCCTATGTTTC